TGTAAATGGTTATTTTATATATTTTATATCTATATAGTATTTCAGATATCATTCCAGAAAGTTATTTGTATCTGGTATCTGAAATACTTCATTTAAAAGTATATTGTATTTTGTATTCCAGATACATACTTTATTTAAGGTATCTTGTACATCACTGGAAAAAAAGAACTCTTCCGGAGAGATAGAAAAATTAGTTTTATGTGATCGTCGATGATTTTGTTACTTATGAAGGATTTCAACGCGAACCACGGGTAAAACGGGAAGTTTTGTACACACATTATCAAGGGTGCAGAACAGGACATAGGGTACCTTTCATCCAGAAAAGAATTCTGTTCTCAAGGGATTGAAAAATTAGTTTTATGTCGATAATCCTTGATACTAGTACCTTACCGCCGAGAAAAGCCAATTTCATAGTGTACTGTATATCATTGTATATGAGTTTAATTAAAATTTCCACATAACCTGCATATCATAGCAATCAGATTATTTGTAAATGGAACGATATGATGCTATAAAAAGTGTATTTTTTTAGACAGGCAAATTCTAGCTTTACTAGACCTGCGGTCATGTACCATCCGTAAATTGTAGCAATAAATTATTTAAAGGAGCACTTTTTGTTCAATTTTTTTGTGTTCTTTTGAATTCTGTCGCATCAAGTTCAAAATCAAATATTAATAAATAAAATCGGGTATTAGGAGAACATAAGTCATTAATTTTCAGTAAGTTCAATAATTATTTAAAAGACGCAGCATCTGCCGGATTAACTTTTAATTAGTTGATTGAATTGATGAAATACTAAAATTTAGATGTTGTAATTCTGATTCTAATATGTAATCCTTCTAGATTGAAATTCCAAAAATTCATTTGTATTGAGTTACGACTGAATAAAACATTAACTATCAAGTAAAACTGATAGAAACTTTAGGATTCTTCAATACGAAATATATAAAACTACTAGAAAAGTGTCCGGTTTTGACCATTCTAGAATTAATTAGTGTAAATTTATCCGCATGCTACACAGATGGTGCAATTGTATATTATACTTTTTAAACTTGAATCTGTTTCTGTAATAATTAATGAAGAGTGCGCGCATGTGGTAAAGCTGATACGATAAACTTAAAGATTATCAATAAATTTTTCAAATAGAGATTATTAAATTATTTTTAAATCATCCTGTTTCTATATCGGGCAGTTGCAATATTGCGTAATAATTGCATTATTCGAAACAGTTTATGTAAATGATTTATACTTAACAGGTGGAAGATGAAATCCCTGAGGTAGATCAAGTTATTATTATTATTATTATTGCTACTATTATTTCGGTAATAATAATTATCATATTTACACTACGTTGCATCCATTATTTTATTGAAAAATTTAATATATGAAAACAGAAAGTTATGTAAGCTTTATGCAAAGCTGAGAGCCCCGTGCCTCCGGGGGGCGTGGGAGGTATTCTGGATGCGCAGTATGAAAGACGACGGTGGCGATGGAGAAAGGCGCGAGAGGACAGCTAATTACGTTAATTTCTTTATTAGTTGGTTATATTTCCGAACCCTTTTAATAAATATATCTGTTGGTATTTTGTTTGAGGAAGTGAGTTTTTAGTTAAGAGAACTTTGATAAGTATTGAGTATGTAAAAGAATATTGATATATGTACGAGGGTGGATTGATAAGTTTCCGGCCTAACCAAGAGATGACGCCACTAGGCCTACCTTGAGGTGACATTCTATAGTACCATCCTTGGATAGCTTGTAGCTATAGTTTCAGCCCGATCTCCTTGCTAGTGTAGGTTTGACAGCACGCTGAACAAGACGCCTCTGTGGTTTTCGTAAAAATGGAAAAGCAGGAAAATCGTGCTGTCATCAAATACTTTTATTTGAAGGGGTTAACGCCGAAGGAAATTAAAAAAGAGATGGACTCAACACTGGGGACATCCTCCCCGTCATATTCAACCGTTAAGCAGTGGGTTTCCGAGTTTAAAAAGGGTCGTGTGAGCACCTCTGATGGGCCTCGCTCAGGACGCCCCGTTGAGGTCACAACTCCAGATATGATCGAAAAAATTCATCAAATAGTGCTGGGAGACCGCAGATTGAAAGTGCGTGAGATAGCTGAGACCTGTAAGATGTCATATGAACGTGTGCAACATATTTTGCACCAACATTTGCATATGGAAAAGCTCTGTGCAAGATG